GGAGGAGGAGGAGGAGGAGGAAAGATAATTGGCAACTTGAAAGGAGAATCTCCTAAGTGTTTCATGAGTGGATTTGAAAAACTAAACCTAAAAGTTCATCGCATCTGCTAGCATGAAACTTAAAGCAGGGCACCCACTAGAATAGCCGAGGAGAAGGCAGTAGGTTTCGGTCACCCAAGGAAAGCGACCCCCCGGGGTCTGGTCACCATAGAAATGAAAACAACGTGAAGATCTCACCCTCGGAGAGGAAAATGCCGAGGTAACCAGAAAGCAACGAGCACAGCAGCAACAGCAGCAACGCAGCAGGAAGACACATTCAGCAGGCTCGACATAAAAAGGTCTGCGCTTCAGAAGGGGTGTTTTCAAGTTGATAAGGAGAGGAAAAAACAAACCGAGCAGATAACCCGCCAGGCTATCAGGCTGTGGAGAGGAGCTGTTCCCTGGAGGGGAAAAAAAAGCTGCTGGGGGCCTTGGGCTCTGTTTTATGTTTGAACGGAAGAAATGACAGGAAAGGAAACTTGCACGGGGCCGCGGATCCCCTGCTCCATCGGACAGCGGGAAGGGAAGCCGTGGAGAAGCTGGGCCTAGGGCGTCCGCCCCTGAAGCAGCAACTCCACTTCTGAATGTTGGGGAGAAAAGTAGGGAGCGGGGGCGGGGACAGCAACGTCACAGCACCATGATCCCCACGTCCACAAACCGGAAAGGGCCCTGGGGTGCACGGCCGGGGATGGATGGACGAACCCGTGGGCAGTTCACGCCCGCCGCAAGGCAGGCAGCGGAACCACCGAGCAGAATCCCCGGTCCGCCCGAGTCATTTTCTAAACTATAGAAACCAGGCGGGAAAAAGCCACGATGGCAGCCCCGTGTCGTTCCCGAAAAGGCAAAACCAGGGAAGATCGCGGTCGCCAGGGATCGGGGGTGGCGGGGAGAACGGGCAGAAGAGAGCGGAGCTGTGGGCCGGGGGTCATTCTGTCCGGCGGCGGACACCCGTCCTGGGCCATCGAACCGGAAGTGGACTCTAGACCCTGGCTGAGAGTCACGAATTGGCATTGGGTCACCCGTGGCGACAGATACACCACGCGAGTGCAAGATGTCAGTGTGCAGCCGCAGGGAGGACGGCGTGGAGGGGCCGGGTGGACAGGGCCTTTCGGGGCAGGTTTTTCTATAGCGAGACCTTGTCTCCAACCACTCAATCAATCAGTCAATCAAGTGGGCTGGTTCCTTCTGGAGGTTCCAGGGAGGACCTCTGTCGCGCCCTCACAGCTTGCACAGGCAGCCACGTCCTTTGGCCTCATGGATCAGTCCTTCTTTGTTTGTTTCTTTATTCTTATTTTTGGAGTCAGGGTCTCACTGTGTAGCCCACGCCGGCCTCAAACTCATAATGATCCTCCTGCCTCAGCCTCCCGGGATGACAGGCGTGCGCCACCACACTCAGCTTGAGACAATCTTTCTCACACTAGCATCTCTCTCGTGCCCTCTCCTCGTGTGAGGACCTGATTCCCGGGCACCCAATGACCTCCCCAGGGGTCAGCACGGTGGTAGCCTCTGCCCTGCTCCGCCAAGCAGGCAGAATCCTGCCCGCACCCTGGGGAAGAGCGTGTGGCTTTAAACAAAACAAACAAGGCCCTGAGCCTGTTTTGTGGAGCTGACATGCAGGGGTGGAAAACAGGCGGTACACGTGTGTGGCAAAGCAATAAAGATAACTGCAGACAGCGAGTGGCTTAGGGTCCAGAATAAAACACAACATGGGGTCTGATAAGAGGCAATAACAGCCAGGGGCAGGGGAGCCACAGCCCTTCGGGTGCCTCCAGGACTTCTGGCACTGAGTCCTCCTGTCCCCCCTTTGGCACCAACATTGTCACCAACAGCTGGAAAAAGAAAATACCCAGACTCACGGTCTTTTTTTTTACTGTTTCCTCCCCTTTTTCATGTTTTTTTTGGGGGGGGGCTTTTGTTTTTTGATGCAGAATCTGGCTATGTAGCCCAGGCTGGCTTCCAACTCCCAAGAATCCTCCTGCGTGCTGAGGTCACAGACATGTACAATTGCTTCTACCTGTTTTGTTTGCAGTGTTTATAACTCTAAAGAAATTTTTACTATTAACTTGTACTTCTTTCCTCCTCACTAGGGCAAGAGCTTTACATCTCCAGACATCGCCAACTCTCCCTGGGGTCAAAATCCTGGGTCCCTCATGAGAGCTGAAATGTCAGGGCTTCTCGGGAGCAGGGCAGTGGCATGACACAGGCAGTCCCATTCTTTAACTCACCCCAATCCACCCTGTGGAAGACATTTCTACTCCAATCCTACCCTTAAAAGTTTGGCTTAAATTAAAACAGTCTTCAAATTGCTGTGGGGGGACAGCCGGGGATTTAGCTCCGTTGTTCTGCTACCTGCCTCGCTAACCCAAGTTCTGGCGTTTGATCATTGGTACCAGAAAAAACAAATGTGTGGGGGATTTGGCTCAGGGGTTCTGCTGCCTGCCTTGTGAGCACCAGGGCCCAAGTTCAATCCCTGGTACCACCAAAAATAACAAAAAAAATTGCTGTGGGGGCTGGAGGTATAACTCAGAGGTAGGGTGTGTGGCTTGGCAGGCTCAGGGCCTGGGCTCCTTCTCTGGCATCAGAATGGAGGAGGAGGAGGAGAAGGAAGAGGAGAAGGGAGGGGGGAGG